ATCGGTCCAATATAGCAATGAGGAACCGCTATGTGGGGGAACTATTTAGAACATTTAATGTATGTTAATGAACTAAATCATTTACACCCCCTTTAAATTTGTTTTTTTTGTAATTAACTCAATAATAAAAGGTGGACTGGTTGATTTCCTTAAATTCCTTAAAAGTTAAACAAATTAGTATAATAAGGGTATGAATCGTTTTTTATTTAATACAATTATATACTAAAATATTACGTGTGGTAAGTATTGTATGGGCCATAATAAAGCTTGGAATATCGATTGCCATTTTCCATCCTGCAATGAATCACAATAATTATTACAAAATACCACGAAATAATGACGTAGCTGATGGTACAGAATACGTGCCTTCACGGTTGTTTCATCGCAAAGGATGCCGGGACATAATTCTAGTCCATTTTCACCTTCGCCGTGATCAGCTGTCCTGTTGCAAACAACGGGATTCGTATCGAATCAACATCATAATCTTGTACATAGTCCGCTATTCTGCAGTGATTTTCTTCCAATCCAGTATCATTTGTACGGTAAGAAAACCAAAGTTTGTGTTTATTCATTTTTATGACTAATAAAGCTGATAATACGACGTAATGAGAGTGGGCCGAGATCCAACTTTAGTAAATGTGGGCCTAGATCTAGTCCCGTATGTTCAAATGTGTGTGCATTTTAAGTAGACTGATTGTCTTTTAAGCTGCTTAAGTACACTCGTCTCGTGTTTTAGGTAGAAATGTACAGTAATATGAGATTTATGTCTCATGAAATATGAATAGACTTTCTAGATCCTATAATTTATAATGGAATAGGGTCTACTAGAATGGCCGACAGTTAGGCCTAGAAAGTGATTGCAATTAGAAATTATAAATGTAAGAAAGTAAAAGAGGCCATGAAAACGATAGATTTTCTCGATCTGGATCTGAATATAATAGTCTGATATCAATGAGCTCTACTTGAGGATCTACATGACGGGGGCATACGGAGGATTTTTTCGAGGGGGGGGGGGGGGGGGGCCGGGGGGTAAAATTTGAAAATCACGCAGTCAATTTCACAACGACTCGGCCAGCCGGTGAATAAGCCGGGGGTGGTAAGAGCACCTTTTTTTTTCCTTCTTTTTTTCCCTGAAAATATGAAATTTGGGAGACCGATATATTGTTCAGTTGGTGGGGGGTAAGGTCACCTTTTTTGGGTCACCCTTTAGCACAAAAAATGTTAAATTTATTTTTGTTATTAAAAAAGTGAGGGGGGGGGGGGGTTTCCTCAAAAACACACACACACATAGTCTAAACAAAATTGGAGGAGAGGGGGGGGGGGGGGGGGGGGTTCAACCCCCGAAACTCCCTCCCCCCTGCATACATGTCTGCTACATGATCTAGTGTTGAAGAAGAGATGAGGGTTCTTTGGTCACAAACTTAAATTTGATTTTCTTTTCCCTTTTATTTATCAGTTGCAGCATCATCGAACACTATGACCCATGAATCAGAAGATAACGTAGATGCTACGAGAGAGCTCATTTCACAATGGACAACAGAAGTGTTACGTGACTTTCTACAAGGAGGGGACTCAAGCTTGGAAATCGAGTACCGGAGTCATTATTTTATGGGTGTTCTCTGCCTTGACTCTGGGGGTACTGTTCAGCCATCCGAGGTAGAGATAAACTGGACAATGGATGGAGAGGGGCGGGGGGGGGGGGGGGGGGGGGGGGGGGGGGGGGGGGGGGAGAAGGCATGCAGACTGCAGAGCTGGTCGTCTACTATGTATAGAGACATTTGTGTGTACCTAGTAGATAAGGACCCTCCATCACTAGAGGGAAGAATGAGAGACTACAAAGAGGGAAAGGCATTTAGTTATTTTGCCAGTTTCTGGTTAGGGAGATATTTTTTTCATCTCGTGGGAGAAAGCTGTCTGTAATTCAAAATCATTTGATACTTGAATAAATTTAGTTCATTTTCTAGACTGTTTCATGTCAAACCGTTGATTCTACTTTCTTGTGAGTATAGTCAGAGAGATAGAGAAGTAACACGAGTAAAGAATGAAAAAGAAGCTAATATTTGAACGAGGAGGAGAAAATGGAGATTACGTTGTTGCCCATAGTGTTGGAATAATTGTTCTTACCACTTTTTATTAAATGATTGTGACCATTTGGTTTATTGTTTGTACATAAAGGTCATATGTTATAAGAACTGTATTGATCAATCTAAAGAGTCTTATAGATTGATTAATACAGTTTTGAGATGATGATGATGATTGTGATGATGAACGAGAAGGAGAAGAGGAGGAACATATCATGAGTTGATGGAGAAAAGATTGATAGAGGGGTTATCATTACAGAGAGAGAGAAAGAGAGATGGACTAACATGAGGAAGGGAGAGCAAGAATGGAGGCTATGACATAGGGGAAGAGATAGAAATCAAAATTATATTTATACTAACATTTACTAAATTAGAATAGTAAATTAGAAGATAAAGCTAAAGGAAAGAATGCAAACTAAAATTAAGCAAAGACCATCACAATATCGTTTACATTATAATATAAATTAAGTAAAGGTACATGGAAACGTGTACATTTGTAAAATTTAATCTCTTGTTCTCTTGGATCTTCCTCTTCACACCTAATTCTTGCTCTCCCTCTCTATCTCTCCCTCCCCTCTCTGTCTCTTTCTCTCTCCTCTCTCCTTATTATCACTCTTTCTCTTTCATTAAGCGTCGACATCTCTCTCGATGCCTCTCTCTGTTTCTATGATTTTTCTCTCGTTAAATATTTAAAACATCAGGTCTGTCTGACCTTCCTCTCTTGAATAAATCATGAATAACTTCAACTCGGCGTCCTACATACAGTAATGATTGCTTAGTACTCATCTACAACCTTCTCTGTGTTGTTTTATTTTATTGATAAAATAAATATAACCATGAGATGAATACAAGTTAGATCAATATCAACAGGTTTAATGCAATGCATATAAGTTGACATCTTATGAAGAAGTAGTACCACCCCCGCCCCCCCCCCTCCAGGAACGGGAACGGAGGTACCGCATGCGTGTTCCCAAAATATCTGGCTCGTAACAAAGAAAAAGATCTGCCCGCATTGACTTTACACACTGGACTTTTGCTGAGAAGGGGGGGGGGGGGGGGGGTACCACCTTTAATGCAAACACATTTAAAGGGATCGGGTAACTTACTCTCAGATTCTGAAACAAAATCCTGGATTTAGCTCATGCTGCAATGATAAATTTAGGTCAGTCAGGAACTCAATGACTTTTACAATCCGATCACCTGTCTGATTATCAAGATATTTACGATTGGAAATCGAAACCAAATTTTGTGTTTGCCAAACGGTTTTCATAACACTACAGTTTATTGGGAAAAACGAGTATGGTAAAAGGGGTCAAACAGAGATTTTTACTTTTTAGAGGCACTTCTTGATCATTTTGAAGCACAATTTTGTTAGGGCTTCAGTATTAATACACCATATCACAGACACTGGTAGCACTTAGGGCCATACGTCCATCTCGGTTTAAACATTGTTATACATTGTTAACAATGCATTTTACAATACCTTTACAACATACACCATACACCATTTGCTGTCACATGGTTTGGAAATCACATTACAGATAATAATTCTACAACTGTGAGGTTTCACCTGTCGTCATTTGATACCCGAAGGAACACTTTTTTAGGGGCTAAATCTAATTTTTTCACAAGGCAAAATAACTATATGCCTTCCCCTCTTTGTAGTCTCTCATTATTTTTCCCTCTAGTGATGGAGGGTCCTCATCCAGTAGGTACATACAAACATAGTAGGCCAGTTCTGCATGCCTACCCCCACCCCCCCCCCCCAATCCATCCATTGTCCAGTTCCTCACAGTGTCTACCTCGGATGGCTGAACAGCTACCGCGTCAAGGCAGAGAACACCCATAAAATAATGAGTACCGGTACTCGATTTCCAAGCTTGAGTCCCCTCCTTGTAGAAATTCACGTAACACTTCTGTTGTCCATTGTGAAATGAGCTCTCTCGTAACATCTACATGCACGTTATCTTCTGTTTCATCGGCCGTGCTCGATGATGCTGCAACTGATAAATATAAGGGAAAAGACAATCATATTAAGTTCGTGACCACAAGAATGATTGTAACAAAAGAATCCTTATCACTTCTTCAACACGTAGATGCTCAAGTTGAGCTCATCGATATCAGAATTTATATCCAGATCCAGATCGACAAATCTATCATTTTCATGGCCTCTTTTACTTTTTTACACTTAATTGCAATCACTATCTAAATGTCAGCCATTCTAGTAGACCCTATTCCATTATCAATTATAGGATCTAGAAAGTCTATTAATATTTCATGAGACATAAATCTCATATTACTGTACATTTCTACCTAAAACACGAGACGAGTGTACTTAAGCAGCTTAAAAGACAATCAGTCTACTTAACATGCACACACATTTGAACATACGGGACTAGATCTAGGCCTACATTTACTAAAGTTGGATCTCGGCCCACTCTCTTACGTCGTATTATCAGCTTTATTAGTCATAAAAATGAATAACCACAAACTTTGGTTTTCTTACCGTACAAATGATACTGGATTGGAAGAAAATCACTGCAGAATAGCGGACTATGTACAAGATTATGATGTTGATTCGATACGAATCCCGTTGTTTGCAACAGGACAGCTGATCACGGCGAAGGTGAAAATGGACTAGAATTATGTCCCGGCATGCTTTGCGATGAAACAACCGTGAAGGCACGTATAAACGTAAGTTGGAAGGTAGCCAAAATTTCCTTTCAGCATCCGGCTATATACCACAAACGGATTGTGTATTGCAAATTGATTCGGCATGATGTTCAATTTGTTCGCATCACTTTGTACGCAAAATCCATATAATTATGACGTCATGAGAAGGAGGAGTGTCGGTTCCTCGTCATTGGATAAACCTGCAGCTGGGAACATTATCGATGAGTGTCTTGCTCTAGCTCTGGGATCACAATGCACGCGCCCGCTCGATGTAAACATAATACACGTGATGTTCTATAGTTGTACACGAATCGCGCCACGTTGATTTTTCCACAGGCAGAAAATTTGAACGCCATCTGATTATAACAGAGACTTTTACTAAATATTGTACCGAAAACGCCTAACGAAATCTAGTTATTTGAAGGAGAAATGGAAGAAGATTTTGCCGTAGATAACACAACAAAACTGAAGGCGTATACGTGGTGTCAAGAATATCTTGGAGGCGTATGGACGCAGATCGACTTGGAAGATTTCCACATCCGTGATTTGAGGTGGGTATTTTGTGCACACTGTACTTCATCAGTGAATGGCCATGGGGGAGACGCGGGTGGCAACCATGTTGGCTGCTGTAGCGCAGCGAGGGCCGTGTAAGGCTAGTAGTACTAGTAAGACTAGAGTCGAGTCTATAAATATAATCATGAAAATGCCAAGGTTTTTATGATTTTGAGGAAATATTTCTAGGAGGCTTGTCCAGATCGTACTAATGAAGTATCTAACAGTTAATCTAAGTTGAGAATAGACACATCTACATTGCAATTACTAGATTAGGCCTAGATCTAGACCGAATTTTCCGTCTCTTTCGTTCGTTAGCCTCTAATTGGGGTAGGGTCGGCTCTCTCTTTAGAGACGGAAGCCGTTGATACACATGTCCTTGCTAACGCCACGGCCAGTCCTGGTCGTAGCGTTTTGCCCCCAAAATCCCCCAAAATGTCATTTTACCTCGAGCATGTTATATTGTAAATTAGGCCTAGGCTATAATAGATCAGTTCCACTTACCAACTTGACTGAAATAATCAGTTTAATAGTCCCTTTTTAGGAAATTATGGGTCAAAATCGAAATCCATTTTGAAAATCTTTTTCAACATGGATTCCGATTTTGACCCATAATTTCCTAAAAAGGGACTATTAAACTGATTATTTCAGTCAAGTTGGTAAGTGGAACTGATTTATTATAGCCTAGGCCTAATTTACAATATAACATGCTCGAGGTAAAATGACATTTTGGGGGATTTTGGGGGCAAAACGCTACGACCAGAACTGGCCGTGGCGTTAGCAAGGACATGTGTATAAACGGCTTCCGTCTCTAAAGAGAGAGCCGACCCTACCCCAATAAGAGGCTAACGAACGAAAGAGACGGAAAATTCGGTCTAGATTAGGCCTAGATCTAGATAGGCCTAGATCTATTCATTAACAGATGGGGGAAGAGAAAAAGAGAGATCGATGATTGACTCATTGACTGGATGATGAGTCATGAGACATGACTGTTATGTTACTGAGTATGATTATGAACAGATGAATGAGTTTGACTCTCGCTCTGTCTCTGTCACTTGGACTCAGGCTCTCTTTTCTCTTCTCCGTCATTTGTCATTGAGAATGAGAGAAAGAGAGAGAGAAAGAAAATGAGTGAGCATGGTGATGAGTGAGATAATGAAACAAGAATACAAGATTTAGATTTACCCCTTTTTTATTGTGAATTAATTTGAGATTAACAATTAACACCTGATTAAACACCATTTTTTTGTTAAGTTCAAATGCTCAATCCTTGTAATGATTAAATGAGTTCATTTGTATGAAAGCAGAAAAATTAGATTTATGAACAGAATGGCAAAAGTTGAAATAGAGGTCTACATGTTGTAAAATTGTAAATCACACCAATATTGAAAATGCTGATAACTTTATGATTGTTTCAAATATGAGATACCTGTAACCAAGTCTGTACAGATCTCAAATTGATGCTTTGCTCATTCGATGGTGACAAAGTCATGGATATCTCTCCCATTTGTCATAATTTTTGTTTTCTCATATTATGAAGTAAAACTGTAAAAGTTCCTTCTTCCTTGAGGTAGTTCTCAAAATGTATTATTATTATAGGTCCTCTAAAGAGAATAGATTCAGATTTGTTTGACGGATTGTAAATTTAGTCATTTTGCATGTTGGGACAAATAGAAAAGTTGTCTGCCATTACATGTACATCGCAGGGACATCAAGTCATCAACGAGACATCACTGATTCAGCCAAGTTGAAGAGCCCATTTCTGTAGTGATTACTATTTTCAAAAATTCATATCTTTCTCATATTTTTTCCAATTTCATTAAAACTGTCACCATTCTACTTCTCTGATATGTCTGCTTTTCGGAAAAAAATACTTAAATAATTTTGGGGGCTACTTTTCAAGCTTGCTCGCATGAAAATAACACTCTTTAATTTGTTTTGCATTGAACTCTATGCAAATTTTTTTGGGCTCTTTTATGACTTTCAGGGACTAATTCGCCCCGAGCCCCCGTGTATTTGTTCCCTGCTGTAGAGTAGTTTGCTATCAAGGTTGGATTTCCCTTCAAGTATAAGTACAATTAGGCTTGCTTTGGGTTCTGTCATGTTTTATTTTGTTTGCCTAACTTCTTGTAGATTAAGAAGTGATCAAGCAAAATGCAAATATTTACATGCTAATGCCATCACTCCTATCAGTACATACAATGTACATGTATGTGGGAATTAAGACAATTGTCTATTCAATTTTGAATCCATATTGTAATCTTAAGACATCGGTCCTCTTGACCTGGTACATTACATGCAGGAATCAGTTTGTCTTGAGGAAATAAAAGAAAGCAGACCTAACTGATACTGATTCTTGCCTCGTGATACATGTAGCGATTTCACAATCTTCAAAAGGGTCGATGTTCATCTATAGTTGATAAAGAGCCAGTTGTTATCACATGAGGTGCTCAGGTGATTTTTTAGTAACGTGACATGGAAATTAAATAGGCAGTCCAACTCCATATGGAGTTATGATTCTGATCACGAAAGCAGAGATTAACAGACATTGAAATAATTAAATGTGTATGTACAGTATGTCTAGGGAGTGGGGAAATCACAATTTCCTCAGTTGATTTCGCTGGTTCAAATGGCTATGTCTTCAGTAGAGTTATCTGAGCACAGCAAAAAGAATTTGATAACCAATAAAAAAAATTGTGCCATATGTTGTGGATTTTGTATTTCATATGTTGTAGCTATACTGTATCTTCACTGAGCATGACATCATTTTCAGCATCACTTCTAAGCTTGGTGCCTCCATATTTTTATGACCTAGTGTTTAGAGAACTTAGGGAAGCAGACGTTGCGTAACATGTCGTAATATTTGGAATGCCAGAGGGGATCTGTGGTCTGATAAGGATGGCTGTTAATGGATTTGATTGCTGGAGAGGGTTAAATTTCTTGTTGTTAAAGGTACTACCATATCCCTTTTGCAGCCAACCTCAAATTATGTAGAACTTTGCAGGAATTATGAATATGTCATGTACATTTGTATGTCCTATCTGCAAAATTTAAACATTAGCAGTGTCCTAATATTCAAATCATGCAAGGAAACCCGTTTACTTGCTAGACTTCAATGTCAGACACTATTGAGTGAGTGACTGGCTTTTTTTCTTCTTTGGTAATAACATGTACATAACATGAGCTGTAAAGGGTACATGAGCATTTGTCTACATCAATAACCCACTTCTTGTGATGGCCAAAATTAAACTGATTGAAACTTTGCGCTGCATAAAACGTATGACCACCCGGTACAATGGTCTAAAACAGGCCTGAGTCATGTCGGGATTTTCATAAACCGGGTCCCGACGGCCTTGCACCGATCGGGACCCGGTGTCCCGAAATCAGCTCGCAGGATTTGTCACTTGCCTCTATAAAAAGCGCATCATCAGTATGTCCCTTAAAAGTGACCTTTTTTATCAGTCAAATAAATCAACACATGCATACCTCGGCACAGTCGGTATATTCTTTCATTTGACATTATTTTTATCCATGATTGGCGATGTTTAGTGCCATTATCATGCCTCTAAAAGTAAAAAAAACTGGAGCAAAAATAGAAGACAACGATCGAGCCGCCATTTTGATTCATGCAGGTTGAATAAATCGGGTCAAAAAACATTAATGTTTGAATAATAAAACGGCTTTCTAAAAAGTACTCCTTTACAACATACCGATCGAATAATTTTTAAAAACAAAATAGATATTTTTTCTTTGATTTTGAACACCACATGCTTCTTTTAAAAGCTGAAAATTACTTGGTAATCACAAGAAGTTTCGATACGGATAGCTGTTGCAAGGCAAGTTCAGACTAGTCTCGGAAAAATGCGCAGTGCTCCTCGTAGTTAGCTGTAATCCGTGCCAGAACGAACCCAAACAAAGACGTGATCGTAACGAGAAAAAAAATCATTAAAAACTACGAGAGCACAATGGGAAAGACAACTACTGCTCAAAATTACGATAATCAGATAAATAACTTGGACAAAGAATTCAATAATCGCCCAAGAAATGCCAAAGAAATTGTTATAATCGAGGAGTAACTGGGTACATTTTTTATCGCAAGGGGCTTGCTGATACTCGAATCCTTTGTTATACTGCTTTTTACCGTAGAGGGCGTTATTTGGTTTCTAGCCTCGTGTTAAAACACGAGGCTAGAAACCAAATAACGTGTAATTCGGACATATCAGCAGGCCCATTCCGATAATGATTGTACCTATAGTAACTCCTTAAATATCACCATTTCTGTGGCTTTTCTTGGACAACTATTGTATTATTCCTCCAAGTTATGTATCTGCTTACGATAATTTTGAGTAGTTGTCTTTCCAATTGTGCTCTCGTAGTTTTTAATGATTTTTTCTCGTTACGATCACGTCTTTGTTTGGGTTCGTTCTGGCACGGATTACAGCTAACTACGAGGAGCACTGCGCATTTTTCCGAGACTAGTCTGAACTTGCCTTGCAACAGCTATCCGTATCGAAACTTCTTGTGATTACCAAGTAATTATCAGCTTTTAAAAGAAGCATGCGGTAATCAAAATCAAAGAAATAATATCCATTTTGTCTTTTAAAAATTATTCGATCGGTATGTTGTAAAGAAGTACTTTTTAGAAAGCCGTTTTATTATTCAAACATTAATGTTTCTTTCAACCTGATTTATTAATCCTGCCGAGGTCGAGAGACCCGGCCAGTACAGTAGCTAGCTAGCAGCTGGCAACAACCCCATGGGGCGAACTGCTTTGCAACCCATATTTATATTAGCAGTTCGGATTGATTCAGGATGAGCTAGAATATGATTGGTAACAATTAAATACTTAATTTTCAAGGTGGAATGATTTTAGTGGTGTGCAAAACTGCAATTCCTTACATATTTCATTATTTTTTTCGGAGCGTCGGTTCTCAAAAAACGAAACCGGGACCCGACGGCAACGGTCGGGTCCCGGTGTGATCGACCGTACCGACTCAAG